GAGAACACCGCTAGAGTGCTGGCCTGATTCAGTAGATGTGGCCAGTGCTCTCTTGGGAACCGTGCAGCCATGTGAAGAAGTTGACTGATCACAGGCACTGGTAGACAGTATGTGACTGTGACAGAGATCATTCACTGAGATCCTGGAAAGGGTATCTCAGCTGTAGTCATGCTTCCTTGGGAACAGGCAAAGGAGCCCAAGGGGGCTTGGGTGTGAACTCTGCACTCAGCCTGTTTTTTCTCTGCCCTCTCATTACTGCATACTGATATCCTACAGTTAGCCTTGCTGTGATGCCTGTAATATCACACTCACACACTCACGCATGCACTTATGCACACACACAAACACACCTGGCATTGAGTTGACTTCCATTTTTTTGCTCATAAAGCACATTACTGTGTCCCACAAAATGCACATCTTTCACCCTCTTCATGCTGATTAAAAGAGACTAAAGCATCATCGAGTTGCCTCAGAGCCCCCAGCAAGATGCTAAGCTGATGTTGGAGCTACAAAGAACTGTCTATGATCCTTAGAGCATTCAAGGGGATGATCAGAGATCTATTGTATGCCCTGGGCATTAAATTCCAACTGAAGCAGCTGAACACTAAGTATGTACCCAGGAGTCCCACTGCCCTTAGTGTAGCTCTTCAGTTTGACAGCCACCTCCCACACAATGAAGCTAATTATTTTTCCCCCACTAGCCATGGCCTTTTGAAACAGAGCAGAGCTGACTGTGGTTTAACTGACCTTATTTTCCTTTCTAACACCCCAGCTACCCTTTGTGTTGCCACAATCAGTAAGGGTGGGTTTGACTTTGAGCATTTTCCAGGAAGCAACCACATTGACCAAGAAGGCAAACAAAGATGCCTGAGAAAATGAAGCCATCAGCCACAGCAGCACCAGCCTGCACACCATCAGCCTCCAGTGTCCCCTCCTCCCCTGCAACTGGTGCTCTCTCGGCACTGCTGAGACTGAGAGCCCAGGTAGACTCCGGAAGAAGGTTGTTGAGAGATTTGAGAAAACAGAGACATTGCCTGTGTCCTGGCTAGTCACAGCCTCACAAAGCTGCTGTGGATTGTTAGTTTCCAGCATCTGCATCTGCTCCTCCCACTGTAGAAATAGTTCCATGTCTGTAAAGCAGGGCCAGGAGCTTGGCCTGAAAAGGCCTAATCAACTCAGAACCATCAAAGGGTTAACTTAAATCTAATCTCCAAGTCTCATGCATTGTTCCAAATGTGCAGCTCTGTTTGCTTTCCAACAGAGCCAGCTTTGTTAACTCGGGCTGATTGTAAACAACCTGTCCAACACTGAAGTTAGGTATCATTTTCATTCAGATGTAGAAGTTCTAACTTTGTGCCCATAAAAAGGGTGTGGAACACACACTTAACTTTCACTCAGATGCCACATGTAAAACATTTTGTTTAATATCTCTGCTTATAGAAATGCAGGCATGGCTAGCAGGTGCCCTGCTTGCTGGTATTATTGCACAGTAGAAAATGGGAAAAGGATAGGAATAGACACATGTAAACAGAACTATAAACAGGACATATAAACAGATGAGATGCTTGTATTCAGATGAGATGCTTATATTCAGAAAAAAATGAATTGTTGCCTCAGTGAGATGTTGTTTTATACTTGGAAGGTTAGTATAGCTCTGAAGTCTGACAGGCCTCGTGGGGGTTCACATACACCTGGGCCGCAGAGCTAAGTGGGCTCTCTGTGAATGGTGACTGGGCATATCTTTTCAGTATCACTAGAGAACGTGGATAAGACTCTGTCTGTGATTGTACATATGTGCATGTGTGTGCATGTCTATGTAGAGACAACGCCAAGTGTTGACTCTCAGGGCAACAACCCCAAGTGTTGTCTATCTTTTTTATTAAGACTGAGACTCTCAGTGGACTGAAACTTGGCAAGTATGCTAGGCTGACTAGCCAGTGAACACCAAGAATATGTGTGTCCCAGCCTCCTCCTGAATTTACAAGCATGCATCACCATTCCTGGATTCTTATGAGGGCTCTAGGGATTACCAAAGCCTTCCTCGTTGTAAAGTTTATTCGTGAGAAAAAGAAATAGAGAGCAGTGAACATTAATACTGGAGAAAATTCTGAGGTGTGTTGCCTGGAAGTTTTCACTTTGATTTGTAACTGAGATGTGGAGTTTCTGAAATTACTGTATTTATAGCTGAGAAGTGTTTGAAGTACTGTTTTCCTGTGCACAGTAGGGTATGCAGACAAACCTAAAGAAACTTGTCAATGAGATTTTCCCTGTGTGAGGTGGGTGCAGCACACTCAGCTGTTTCTTAAAGACCTGCCATTGGGTAAGACATTGGGTAATTACGCAAAGATCTTTCCAAGAAAGGCTACTGTTGCACAGGACTTTCTGTGTGGGGGGGTATAAAAACTTTATTTTCTACTGGCTTGCCATGGGTGCAGAATTTACACAGGACTTTCTCTGTGTGGACATATAAAAACTTTATTTTCTACTGAGTTACCATGTGTGCAGACTCTCATTTCTGAATTTATTTCATGCCAACATGAGCTATTCAGTGCAGCATCCTGATTGGTGGACAGGAAGTCTGTGTGGGACTTGGCCTTGCTTGAACAACCCTGTGACAGGTTGGCCTCTAGCTCTATAATTTTAGGAACAGCATAAATCCAGGAGCAAAGGTAGACAGACCATTCTCTTGAGCAGTTCCTAGCCTAGTGAGGAAGGTTTTCCTAAGGAATACCTTGTTTTTGCTCCATAACCAAATGCTTTAGAAAGAAATAGTTGGCCCTTGAAGCCAGACAGCCTGGGCTCAAATCCTATGGGTAAGGGACTATCGCAAAGTCCCTTACCCATCTCTGCCTCACTTTCCCAACCTATGAAAGGTCACTTGTGTGTGTCTCATTGAATACAAATGGGACAGAAAATAAGGCAACACATACCTGGTGTACACTGAACACGATCAGGGTTCTTCATTGGGTTTCTGCAATTGACTTTGCAACTGCATAGAAATCTGAAATTAATTTGAGTGTGTTCTCCAAAAGATAGTTACATTTCTGCACAAGATTAAACCATACATGTAATATGTGTTTCAAATAGTTGGGAGAAAAAATATTGAATGTTTTCAAAGACTGAAGAGTATTTGAGGGAAAGATACATTTGCAATTATTCAAAAATTTTACAGTATACACATTTATCAAGCCATCACATGGGATTCTGTAATTACATTTTATGTATCACTGTGGGAGAGGAAAGACAGACCAACTTTCTTAGGCTTTTAAATGACTTTGAAATGTGGTTCCTGATCCAGGGTCCTCCCACTAAACCACATGACTTCCCTATGTATGGCAGTTTTGGTGAACAAGTCTTGCATGAAGAAGGATGAATAACTGTCTTCCTCCCCAGCAATGTAGCTGGATTCATCAGTCTTCGACATGGTGAGTCTAAGGACCTCAGAGCCTGAGTGTGGAAGAGCTAAGTCTCAAAATGCTGTTCACACCCAAGAGCATTGGTAATGTCCTTGTGGTACCTGCAGCCCACATTCATTAGTGCTTGTGCAGAATGAGCAGGTTAAGTACTCAGAGGTCAAGTTGGAGCTTCTACTGATGGCAGTGGGAGAGAATACTGTGATCCCATACTAGGGCACATTTCTTTCCCAAAGAAGAAAGACTGAGAAATTGGTGAACAACAGATGACCCATGTGTATGTAAGGAAAACATAGACAATTTGAGTGTCAAGTCATTTGCTTTATTTTTTTTCAATTGAGAGTTACTTTGAAGAAGGTACATGATATTGGATAAATTATTTGTGTCTGTAAAACAAATACACTGAATTCAGAGGCACCTCATTTTAAAATATGACTGTCATTTGAAAATCAGTTAATTTAAATTTTCTAATCTATAGGCTAGAATTATACTCACATCAAAGGACTCTTAGAGAATCATAATTTGCCTGGTGTGTGATAGAAGCTGAGCAGCTACCTATGCTCACTTTAGGTGTTTGTGTGGGATGTGTGGATGGGATAATCCAGCATTTCTAAGGTAGAGTCAGGAACATGTCTCAAGAACAATGCTTTATTAACCCATTTTATGTGCCTAGCTATGGGGGACACACTGTTCTAACTTTCTTCTATGGGAGGAAACTATGGTATGGCTTAACCCTCAGACTTGGGTCTACAGTCCATGTGTTCATCTCTTCCATCACCTTTCCTCTCTGGAGTTTGGGCAGCTCTCCTGGGAACAGTGTGAGGAGTGGGGAGCATGATACTGTGACACAGGCACAGAGTTGATCACACAGCTTACATCCTACTAGAGCTTTTCCTGTTTCCTTAGCAATGACTTAAACCCAATGACCCTGGCCTAGTTTCTCCTGAGAGAACATTCATTTTGGCTTCTGCACTTGACTGCAGCTTCTAGGACCCTCTGCTCCAGAAAATTGTCCCAACTGCCATCTAAGGGACAGACTTAGGAATATACTTTTGGACCTTGTTACAAACAAGCATTGTGTGTCATAGCTTGTTGTCATGTTGCTTTGCACCTTGAACCTTCAATCACTGTCACAAATAAAAGCACACATCGTATCAAGAGTAGACCTGATTTTTATTGTATTTTGCAAAACAAAGCACAGAGTTCAAGTTCAAATAAGGTCCTTCAGGGCATGTGAAGTAGAGGCTTTTAGGGCATTATCTGCTTCAAGAGCATGAATTGGGGGTTACTAGAAGCTGCAGTTTGTTTGTGTTAGGGCTGTGATGCTCTGGGTTCTTGGTTGGGGAGATGGGGCCTGATATAGGATGGAAGAGGATGGGTGAGCTCTTCCATGGGCTACTATTTGTTGTAGAGTGGAGTTGATCAGTTTCTTCTCTGTCTTGAAAACATTTGCATAGTAATGATACAAAATTCCACATATGTGACCTTGAGGAGGTCAAAGCAGTAAGCACATCCAGCTAGACCCTCAGAAGATATGAGGAGCAAAACAAGGATGAGGGCACCATGACCCTCCCATTTCATCATCCATTATGATCTTTGACCATTACAAGGCACAGCTCTTCTAAACAGACAGAATGTAACGAAGGCCAAGTGGATGGCACTCTTGAAGAACAGGATGAGGTAGGTGTAGAATGCAGAGGTGTTTGTGACTTGAAGCTGCAGCACATCTAAGAGAATCTTACAGTTAGTTTCATCTGCTCTTTCGACAGAAAAGGACATAAGGTGAATTTTTTTTTTCCTGGTGGCCTACATTGAGTGACAACTCAACACCTACCATTCTTACCAGAACTATGAAGAGTACTCTTCTTGGAAGTCAGATTAATAACAACCCCTGATAAGTTCATTTATAATCTGTCACTACTGAAAAGAGCAATTGCACTTGGGGTAGATGGAACCATTTAAAGGTTCAGTGGGGGATAAATATAAACTTCTTCACTTTCAGTGTTTCTAAATGATAGCAAATAATATCTGTCATGTACAAAGCAAATTATAAATAATATTCTGACATCTTTGCCCATAAAACTCTCATCTTTTAAAATAAATTAATAGCTTTTGGTGGAAGAATTATTTTCATTTCCATTTGCAGGAGGCACAGAAAAATAGTTTGCCAAATATGTATTGAGTAAGTCACAGCCTAAGTCTTAATCCATAGAAGTGACTTTAAAAATTGTTACTTTCTTTTTACATTTCCAAGTATAACTATCATCCCAGACATTAAAATATAAACACAAACACAAAGCAGAGCATCTGAAGCATTGTAGGCAGAGCCTGCAGTGCTCTGTCAGGAGGCACCATCCATAGAAATCCAGTGGTGGCACAGCAGGTTGAAATGGGAGATTATAGAAGAGGGCACTTCAGAAAAGCCCGAAGGAACTTGTCAGTCCAGATTTCCCAAGACTCTCAACTGTCTTTCTCAAGGCTCTTATTAGTATATAATGGGTAATTAGAACCAAAATAAGAAATATGTGCTGTCATAAAAATTAAAACAACGATGGAATTGGAAAACCACTTCATGAGTCAAGGCCATGATTTTTTTCTGTATAAGAGATCTCAAGTAATGAAAATTTACACTCTGTCCTTGTTCAGGTCTATTGCTCATGTGGCACCTCAGATTCTGAGCTCATGGCATTGAGGATATGGAAGAACAGTCAGCCCTAGAACAAATATATGAGTCTCCCTTTGGTGCATATGTAGGAAAAAAGGACCAGAAACTAGTACTAAATATGATAATTGTTTACAAAATATGATAACCTTCCTGGACATTTGATGTCTAGGCACTCATTGCAGTAACTGTGGATTTAGGGTAATTATTCTCCATTGTCAAGTGAAGAAAATTTTGTTTACAGACTGGAAGTCATTCATGCATACATGTGTACACTTATCATTAAAATGACTGGACCACTAGTCTCATATGTGGCAGTGTGAAGCCTATGTTCTTCCCAATTCATACGATGTTGCACCATAGGTAACTCTACACTGTGACTTAGAGGGAAAATACAAAACTGAGTAAGTGATCAAATTGCCATCTTAGTTGGAATCCCCCAGATCTGGATGTGTGACATGTCAGAGAAATTAATATTAGCTCACTGACCACATCTGAAAAAAATGGAGGAAACTGTTACAGTGTATGAGAGGAGTAAAAAGAGAAGTATACAAGATATACACACAGAATCTAGATCAAGGGCCTTTTGTCTAAAAGGAATTCTGTAGGGGTCAGGAAATGTGATTAGTACCAAAAAGGAAAAAAATTAAACTACTAAAAAGTTACATGGGTCCTAATCAAAGTCATACTGTATGACTAGGAAGTAATAGGTCAAATTACACTATCACGCAGTCTATTCTGCAGTTCCAGGCTTTTCTTTAAATTAGAGAAATTCAAAGTTAAGATGATTGAGATCATGTTCTCTATAAGATATAAGGTGAGCAGATGCTAAGACACCCTTTGTTCCTTCCAAGCAAACATCCAGATCAGTAGCATTATTAATTAGAAGAAATGAGAACAAGTTCTAGTGAGTTACTGTGGCCGTTATTTGACATGCTCGTGTGTGTGTGTGTGTGTGTGTGTGTGTGTGTGTGTGTGTGTGTGAGAGAGAGAGAGAGAGAGAGAGAGGGAGAGAGAGAGAGAGAGAGGAGGGAGGGAGAAAGAGATCTCATCAAACAGAATTGATGATGAAAGCTCATGACTGTAGACTAATGATTCCTATACCAGGCAGTGAATTAAATGATCCACATTCATTGTATTTAATTCCACAGTAGGACTTAAATGAATTAAATTCTGAATTACTCCATGTGTGAAAAATCTTACATGATGTTACAATAACAGGGTCATTGTTTGGAAAATGAATCCATTGGTAAAAGTGCTTGTCTTGAAAGCTTAAGAATCTGAGTTTGATCCTCATAAAAAATGCAAAAATGCTAGGTTTGGGTACATTCTGGAAATCACTGCCCTGTACAGGCAAGGAAAGCCTCTAAGGTTTTCCTCTAGACTTAACAAGAATGTGAATACACACTAATGAACTTGCACATATATGCTATCTCTCTCTCTCTCTCTCTCTCACACACACACACACACAAACACACACACACACACACAGACACACACACACACACACAGACACACACACACACAGACACACACACACTTTAACAAAGACACTCTCATTTACCCCAGGCTAGTCTTGAACTTTTGATCCTTCTGCCTCTATCTGAAGGTCTAGGATTACAGGCATGCCATGTAACATTTACTTTGAAAATCTTAATTCTTAATTGTTCTTTGCAAATGACTTTTTTGTTTTACAATACAATGGCTGAGCATTCCAGTGCATTTCTTTCTAATAGTGGAAAGATAGGGGAAAAAACCAACTATTTTGTGAATAAAGATTGAGATGGAAATAGTTTTTAGTGACATGGAGAGAAGATTGATTTAAAATGCCATTCAGTCTCTTCTGCTTCATTTAGCAATTATTTTTGTTTTTAAACATTAATCCAAAGATATTCAGAAGATGAGGTGATAGAGGGAAGAAAACAGTTTCTCAAGAGGCAAAGGCAAATTTAAATTAAAACTTACCATTTTCACATCTCATAACACTTTCTCTGGGGTTGATATCAATAGCTGTGAAAGCTAAAAGAAATTAAAGTATAGTTAGTTATTGATGTTTATTATTTGAAAATGTGTGTGTGTGTGAATTAATATATATGAAGTGTTGATACAGAGTCCTGAGAAGCCATTTTTAAAAATATGAGGCTGGAAATTTCCAGAGTAATTGATGTTAATATGAAATTACATAGAAAACAGTTGTGATATGTTTTTGCACACAAAGATTTCAAAGTTTGTGGTATCATTGCTTATTTTTATCACATACTGTATTCCAGATTGCCTGCTTTTCTTCTGTATCTAAGCCTCCAAGCACAAAATTTGCAACAAAAATAAGGTCAATGGAAAAAAGTCCAAGCTGGCTGATTTTCAGACTTGTGCACATTAGGCTGATATGTCATGTTCCACCCACAATAAATGTGTCAAACCTTAGTGTCCACAACAGAATCATATGCCCTTGAGGGAACCTGACATGGACCAATTTCTGTCTAAGCAGAGGAAAGCAGCCACGGCTTTGTAAGTCACTCATTTCCCTAAATCTCCCACTTGTATGCTTGGTTGCTGGAGGGGAGATGCTTGTGGCAATGCACATTTGTATTAATAAGAGCTGCTGTCTGTCCTGTGATCGCTGCTACACCAAGGGGCTGACTAAATGCATCCTAAACATCATGATGCTTAATTCTCCTGTAACACTAAAGTGAGTTAAAGTCTGGATGTCCTAACTATAAATCAAAAAATAAATTTTAAAGAGCTTACATAGCTCATACAGTGAATGAGAGGGTCAATATTTAATGAATGGTGTGGATTTAATAGATAGGATATGTGGGAAATACTTTGTAAATATCATTAAACTTGTGGAGCATTTGTATTTTTGAATCAAAATAAAACATCTAGAATAGAATACTTGTTTCAGAAAATATTACATTTACATATCAATAAAGAAAACTATGCCTGACCACAAATTCACGAATTCTGGTAAATGATCAAAAGATTAAACTGAGAAACCATGGGGTAGGAGAAACAGCTAAGTTAAAATGGGAAAAAATAACTATGTACTCCAAATGTCTCAAAAATGTTTTCATTGAAATTATAGAATATCACCAAAGCATCAAAAGATACAGATTTCCAAACACAAGAGGTACTTAGAATCCCAAATACATGAGATCAGTGAAGACCTTTACATGGCACATTAAATCCAAGATACAAAAATTATAATAGAAAGAATCCATGAAAGGTTGCAGAAGAAAAATACCAAGTCACAGAGGCACAGATATCAGGATTTCAGAGCTTGCAGCAGAAACCCTCAAAGCAAGGAACTAGCCCAGTGATAAATTTCAGAGCTTAAAAAACTGCTGATGGTATGTGCGATTGTACCAAGGAAATAGCATCTGAAAAATCAGTGGAGAAGCAAAGACCCTTTAAGCAAAGCACAAAATGAAGCACTTTGTGGCCACCAAAGGCATCATTGTAGAAGGAGCTCAAAATCACACACACCAGCACCAAAGAGGAAAAAAGACAGCATCTACCAGAGAGCATGATGAACAAGAAATGTCATAAGGGAATTATATGAAGAAAGGAGAACCAGATACTGACAGCTCAGCCACACAGTAAGTTGCTAATAGAAATAGAAGAGGAAGAAAGGGAACACTTACTTCAAGCAGAAAAACAACCAGCACAAATAACAGGAATCAGCAAAGCCCCTTCAGTAATAATCTGAAACACAAATGGTCTTAGTCTCTGATGAAAATATGTCAACCATCTGAATTAAACAAAACAGCAACCAGGATCAAAAGGCTGTTTGTTGTTTGCAAGACACCTATAACTGGTGAAGATATGCACAGACTGGGACAGAAAGGATGCAAATCATTTGATAGGCAAGTAGGAGCCCCAAACAAGTAGATGTAGCTATGGTTGCAGTTGATAAGTGGACTTCAATCCAAAATTCATGGGGAGAGATTAAGAGGATCACAGCATCAAGTTGCTATAATAATTATATACACATTTGCTTCGAATGTTGAATGAAGCTGATATTAATGGAAATGAAAACTAGATAAGACCAAGTAAATTAATAGTGAGTTACTTACAATAGGCAGATCACCCAGACAATGCCAAATCAACAAACTTCAAATTTTAACTCTACTTCCAAAGGACTTAACAGACATCTAGAGAATATTGTATTTAACTCATTGAGAATACAATTTTTTTCTTAAAAGCTCATGGAACTTTATTTCAGATAACATTTTAGACCATAAAGCTAGTGTTAACAAATAATAAAAGAAATAATACCTTTTATATTATCAAACCTAGATAAAAGTACCAGGAGAAACTATAAAAAGTATGCAATGTATGAAGATTCAGCAGAATAATCTTGAATGATTACTGGGTCATTAAAGAAATCAGGAAAGAAATATAAAATACTTTTATATTTAACTGAAAATGAAAGTGAAATTTATTAGAAACTATGGGATATTGTGACCTTACTATATTCTAGGGAAAGACAAGAGAAACCCATGTAGTTTCTTTGTTGTTGTTGTTTTAAGTGTCTGGTTATCTGAATCAAACTTGGGGTGTGGTTTTTTTATCAGTGTTTATAAGCAATACTAGAATAACTTGATATAACACTTTCCCCAGTCACTAAATGTTGAATGAATGGTTGGGTGGATGGATGAATGGATGGATGGATGGATGGATGATGTTCTTCTTTACAGTCATTCAGAGCATCTCACTGAACTCTTTCATTTGTTAATTTGCTGTGTTAATATGATATCAAGGAAATGACTGGTTGCTTTAAGTGCCATTCAGCCCATTCTGCAAAATTCAGTCCTTCTGTTTTTTGTTTTGTTTTGTTTTGTTTTACTTAAGGGGAGGTGTATTTAAATGTTAAGATGATTAGGAGGAGGAAAATAAAATCTAAAACTTACGATTTTCTGTTGTCAAATAAGCTTCTGTGGGAGTAATGGTATTGGCAACTAAAGGAAATAAAAGCAAACATCAGTCAGCTATCTATGGCTATTACTTTATTATATATATAATATATATGTATTATATATATAATAAAATATACATTTGTGAATGTATACATAGACTTATTTGTACACATTTTCATATAAATATAATGTCAACAGAAATACAGCCATTAAAATGTGAGCCTTGCAATCCCAGAAGCATTAGTTGCACTGTATGTAATTCGGTGGATGACACTCATATGATGTTTGTACATGTGACCATGTTAAAGTTCACAAGGATTGCACCATTATCATAATCTCAATGTAATGCCCAAAACTTCCCTGCCAGAACCACTTTTCCTGTGTGTTCACAGGTCCTAGAAAAACTTCTGCTTCAAAAGAGACAATGTACAAATGCAAACTCAGTGGAAAAATAAACAGAATATTGATTGACATATCAGCATGCATATGCTTGACTTGACATGTCATACTGTGAAAAACATCAAGCCCATTCTATTCAGTGAGTTCCAGGCCAGGCAGGGCTACAGAGTAGGACCCTGTCTTAAAAAAAGAAAAAAGAAAAACCTGCTAAGGTCTCAATTCTTCTTACTATAATATCTGAAGGTCCCAGTGCAGTTATTTCTGGGGATAGGCAGATAGCCCAAGTTATATTTCTAGTATTCTGTGTGAAGCTTGTGATAAGATAGATACACCTATGAGTGTTTTAAAAGCAAAAATAATGTGCTTAATTATTTTAAATGGTGTTGGAGAACCATAAACCTGTTCTTTGAGCTTAGTCTTCTGCTAAATGTGTTCTCATAGGTATGGATTTCATTTCACTATGTGATTTTATTGAAAAACATGTTCTGTGTGCACTAAAATGGATTTGGGTGTGTGTTTGGTGAAAATGTAAATACAGTCATTTGGTTTCTGTCTTCCAGATCTGCCTTAATGGCTCTAAAGTCTACTTTTTAGTCCTTTCAGTGACTTTATTATCTAAAAGATAAATGAAAATCACTATCACCATGAATTGATTAAGGTACAAAAGAATAGGGTTACTAATAAGATAAGCTATGTGTTTCTAAACTCCCTCAGACAAAGGTAATTGCAGTTTTAGGGATCAGCTTCATGTCCTTTTATAATCATGGCATTAAGTTCTTTTATCAAGACAAACCGTACAAAACAAAGTGTCTTCCCAGAGGCAGCATTAGAAATTCTTTGTTGAATGCTCTTACTGGAAATGCCTTGATTGTTTTACTGCCATGAGACACATGTGGCAAACACTCTTTTTAACATTGTATATTTGTCTTGCCTCTATGTCTTTAAGGGGAAATTGAATATGGGGGCTCTCTTATAATAATTTGCTATGCTGTGGAAAACAACAACTTCCTTCATTTTCTCTTCATGAAAACCCTAGATAAAGGAGGGCAACTTTACAGACATCACTGGCCACCACTGAAACAAAGTATTCCAGAGGATGAAGATTTACTGAGGACATGGCATAGATGTCCCCATGTTTTGACATTTATGTATTTTTACACAGATCAAAAGTGTTTGTCAACCACATGGGAGAAAATAAAAGATTCTCTTTCTCTGTCATTCTGGGTCCTTAGGAATGTTTTCAAGACCAAGGATAAGAACACACCCACATGGAGAGCTAGCTACAGGCCCTCTCACTACCTGTCTTTGCCCACTCAGGCTTCTGCTGGCTGTAAGTTCCTAGAAGATGGCTCCTGAATAATGCATGATTCGAAATGACGAGGAAAAGAATACAAGCTCTTCATTGCAGCCATTGGGTCACTAGCTCATCTGAAACTATTCATCCACATCTCTCTCGTATCTGGCATACAGGTGACACAGAAATGTCTACCCAAGTGACTGCATTTACAAAAGCAAAAAAATCAACTCACCATGGAAAACAGAAATGTACATGTTAGCCTCATCCACACTTAAATTTTGAATGCTGTGTAACAGTGATGTGTAAAACAAAAATCAGAAAACCTCAAGGTTGCCATAAATCTTCAGTGGCCAAATAGTTCTATTTTGTTGTTATTGTTGTTGAATATAAATCTTTCATAGGAGTACTATCTTGTAAGCTAAAAACTTACTGTAGACAAAATTTAGTGCATTGAAGTTGAATTAGGCAATTTTGCTTAATTTACATCTTTGAACATTTCTGAAAGGTATCTATTGTTCTTGTGTCTGAATCAAGCACAGCCAGCAAAAGGGGAAATGGCACTGAATGGTTAGATGCTTTCAGGTATGTTGTTTCATTTAATCCTTGAAGCAATTTTAAAAATTAAGACACGGTCTTCATATTTTACATGGTATAACTGAAGCCACGTAAATTAAAAGCAAATATTTTGCTGTTTTTTCCCTGTAATATCCTCTGAGACAGAACGGCATGGTTCCGTGTTTACAATATATATAGTAAGATTTAAGAAATATTCATTTTTTATCAATACACATGATAACAATAGGATAATTTCCTTTTGCATATACTTTCTGGAGATACATTTACATTACCATATGTGTACCTTTATTGATAGGAGGAAACAGAATCTCTTTGTCAACTCCTCTCTGATTGTTTTCATGTTTAACAATACATCTGTACTCTGTATCCATTGAATCTTCAGTCACAGTCAGCCAACTTAACTTCATGTATGTGTCATTAGTCTTCATGGTATTTCCTTCTTTAGATGCCAGAATCTTATCGCCATCCTTTTCTTTCCAATATACACGTATAACATCAGGGAAGAATTTCTCAAGGAGACAAAGGTATGTCCCAGCCTTATGGAGATTTGTTTCAGCAATAGAAGGGTAAAAAATGGTAGGCTTGGGAGAAATGTCTGAATCAAAGCGTTTGTCTGTCGGGAAATAAAAATAACATAAAAAAGAATTATTAGGGAGACTCAGCTGTTAAATGGATTTGACACAATCTGGTACAGTGTGCTAGGAAGACAAGTTGTGACTAAGTTAGTGTCCACTGTAGATTTGTATCCACCTAGGTTGCAGAGATTTACTATTGTCCCCACTTTAGAGTTGCACAATTAATAGAGGGTTTTGCATGACTTCCAAAAGTCAGCTGTTGACTGGAGGGGCCTAATGAAATCTGTCTTTTGTTGGCCTACAGGCCAACATGGATTCTTTGTTACATCTCCTGTGTTTTCTCAGACTAGATCACAATTTCGGGATGGATGAAGGAGTCCTGGGAATGACTATATGATGTCTCTGAGAACTGGGATCTACACTTCCCACCCTTAGTCTCTTAGATTGTCTAACTAAGTCACTCTCCCATGCATTTGCAATTCAATTAGCCCACTCTCTACTTAACTGATTCTCAAATGTACTCCTTTTATATCATCTCACATATGAGATGTCACAAGTTGATTTGCCTGTTTTGATGGCCAATTCCTCCAAAGTACAGCAGCACACATTGCCTGTTTGTGGATCTCTGCCCAATTCTGCAGATCCTACTGTTTCTCTGTCATTCCAAAGCATGTCATTTCCACATCTAAACCATTCTAGGCTTTTGAACTGGACTGTTTTAAAGTTTTCCTTCCAAATGATTTACAGTGTCTATGATTGAGGTGGGGGAGGGGTAAAACAAATCCACAACCTCTTTTAACTGTACTTAATGTTTTTATGTTAATCTTACAGAGTTATACACTTACACATTTTGTTTGGATTTAGAAAAACTTTAATTTTTTGTTTCATTTAAAGTTGAAGAATTACTAAGATAAAATAGAAATGTGTTTCTCCAACTTAATACAAATTTATCTTATTTAAGAGATACTTGATCCATCTCTGACATCCAAGGTTAGAGGCTCTTTATCGTAATATTAGAGTGAATCAGTTTAGCTTCACTACCAGCAATAGAAACCAAAGTAAAACAAAAAACCAAAGTATTTGGAGAAGCAACTTGATGACAATCCTACAGAAACATAACAGGTCATTGCTATTATCATCATTGTCACTACTAGAGGAATTTGTTTGTACTTGCTCATTGGAATTATACATTTAGGGATCTCAAATCCATGGTGAATATGAGCAAAAAGAAGTCCTCTGTCCTGTCTTTGCATTCTGCTCTATTCTGACTTTGATGGAATTCCCAACATTGTGATCTCAGGGAAAAAGCCTTTCATACACCAGCTTCCATGGCATCATCTGTCTTAGCTTCATGTGAAAGGGAACCAAGAGAGCCCTGCCTGGCTACAACCTAGTATGTGTCAGTGCATGGAAACACTTCACTTCTGCTATCTAGAAGTCAACAGCGTGGCACATGGAAGCCCTCTCTTTTCTCATAAAGAGCAGCTGAAAACAGATTCCAGCCAGCTTGTCCCAAAAAGCAGCTTGAAACTGCTAACTTAGTCTCAATTCAGGCTTACTAGAAGAATAGCAGATGGCCAGGCTGCACAGCCATTGTAGGTCCCTAAGTGCCAATTACCATATCATATCCTATCTTCTGAGGGTTCCCAATTTGCATGGCTCTAACTGTCAAAGGTTCATAGCACTGACACAGTGGCGGTGTCATGGGTTCATTTAATAAGTCTCTCAGTGGATGGAGGACAGTGCCTGCTCTGCTTTGCTTTCCTTCTGAAGGTCCCGTGGACTGAAATCCTTTCATAAATTTATTTTGTATTTCAAAATAGGATTTGCTTCTTTTATCAAATAATAAAAGGTATGTGTTTCACTATATTTCCTGTTATCTTTCATCATAAAACTTTCATGTCTCTTGCTATGTAGCTACAACAACCTCTCCTTTTGGTTCTTCTGTTGTTTCTTAGCTGGGTGACTCCCTGTGGATATTGTTTCAGTTCTTCTTAAGTGGATTTTAGAAACAGGCATTGAAAACAATCAATCCACAGTTCCTGTGGTATAGCTGTTTCTCTTTCTACCTCATAGGGTGATTGTTTGAGGAGGATGGGGGCTATGTTTCACAGTCCTGGCTTTACGACTAGGAAGCTGCTGGCTGCATTTAAGCAGATCTAAAATGAGAGAACATAGACTGAGGCTTTCTTTACCAAATTGTTGCTTGTAATGCAGGGGTAACTGTGAATGTAGTCTTTGTGCATCCTTCATGTGAAAAGGTGCTCTTCTGTCTTTCTGAACCAAAGCACAATTTAGACAATATATCAGATTTATATGGACTCAGTTAATGCTAACTTTGGAGTGGAATTCATAAAAGGAACTCATAAAACTCGAAAGCTTTTGTACAGAAAAGGAAATAATCAATTAAGAGATGAAGAAACCCACAGAGTGGGAGAGAATCTTTGCCAGCTATACATCTGACAGAGGAATAATATACAAAATATATAAATAACTTCCCCCAAATCAGTCAGGGGCTGCAGAGATCACTCAGCAACTAAGAGCACTTGATGTTGGCAGGGACACTTTAAGTGGGGAATGAGAAGGGGGAAGGGAGGATAGATAACACTAACAAGGCTTGAAAAGCCATAGGGAATGATATTTACTAAAGATCTCTCTCTCTCTCTCTCTCTCTCTCACACACACACACACACACAGAGAGAGAGAGAGAGAGAGAGAGAGAGAGAGAGAGAGAGAGAGAGAGAGAGAGAGAGAGAGAGAGAGAGAGAGAGAGAGAGAGAGAGACAGAGAGACAGAGACAGAGACAGAGACAGACAGACAGACAGACAGACAGACAGACAGACTCTGACTTAGGGTACCAGGGCCATGGGAAAATTCATTTTTGTTTTTGATCAGAGTCCAAGAGACCCTCAAAATTTATAGGTTGTTGATATTGCCCTTGGTTGCCTCTAAGAATTTGCAAATAAGACCCTATTGCTGAATAGACCACACTTTAGACTTGGACTTGGAGGGATTGAAGTGGATTTGACCTGGAAGCCTCCTTCCTGAGGATTATCTCTCATAGTACCAGAGGGAGGTATGCAAGCTGCTGGTATCAATAGATATCTTAACTTTGTTTCAATTTAAGTTAAGAAATGTGCTAGTTTAACTCAAGTTATAAGTGCTAGTTTGACTCAAGTATCTGTTATCTAAGTTTATTCAAATTAGAGTGGAAAACTGGTTTTTCTATATTTAGCTACTGGGAAATAAAGGGCACCTCAGCTTTACCATCTACAAGATGCATGTTAAATTGAAATCACTTTTGAAATCAGGGAGTATTTGTCTTAGAAAGAAAAAGCATGATGCAAATCCTAACAGGTCTGATGTGAGATCTGTGGTCAGTATGGCCCATGCATTTGCATTAGTCAGTTCATATGCAGAGGTTAATATTTAATTATCTACCAGTCTCAGGGAAGGAGTTAGATGATTTCTCTATTAATTTCAAATAATTCTTAAAATACCCACTAAAGAGGGATGCCACTATCTTCATGGTACAGGCCAACTATGGGATGCCTTGCTCAGCTTTAATGCATGGGAGAGGGGTCTGGCGCTGTCCCAACCTATTGTGCCAGACTATGTTGACTCCTCATGGGAGCCCTTACCCATGAAAAGAAGTGGACTGAGGGTGGGCTGATGGCAGAGGCGTGGGGGGTAGGAGGAGGTGAGGAAAGAGGTATCTCCTATGATCAATAGGAACCTTAAAAACTATAAGAAGATATCTGTTTGCTTAAACAGATGTGGGAGGGAGAACTCTGGTTAGAATGTAAAATGAAATTAAAAAATAAAAAATACAAAAAAATAAAATATGAATAATTTTAAGAACAACAGTTGGGTAGACTCTTCATGACATAGTACCATGCAAAACCAGTCAGATCCAGTATCATGAATCTACTCTACCCTGATTTTGCAAATATAATTAAAGTATACCAGATAAATGACTGAATGGAAATTTTATAGAATAATGACCATGAATGACAGTAGCAGGTAGTTTTCCTTATTTGTGTATCCTAATTCTCCTATGATCAATAGGAACCTTAAAAACTATAACAAGAAATCTGTTCCCTTAAACAGTTTTCATGTATAAATCAGCTCTTAGCCTAGCATGTAGACTTTTTAAATATTTCTTCACTTTGATGAATCAGCAATAGTATCCATGAATTTGAACATTCAGCAAATAGATATTAAATAATACTCTTAGGCATTTGGTGATTCAGATGAATGGAATGTTTGACATCTACATGGGTTATAACGTGATTTCTTACTAGGATCCAATTCCAACCAATAAAAGGCTTGAGTTACCTAACAGTAAATTCATACTTTTCTCTGGGGCCAAGCCTCTGGCATGCTAGGCAAAAATTCTACCACTGAGCTGCTATTCCCAGTCCCAGGGTTTGAATTATTAATGATGACCTCACAAGCTAGTCCTTGATTGGAAAATATCCTTTTGACTGAAAGATTCCTTGACAATTTCCAGACCACTGAATTTGAATTCTGCACTGTACATCAGAACATACTAACCTGTGCTTATGTCTATAGTTGTCTCATCCTGAGAGTCCAGGCAGCTGTGAGTTATGGAACTGAGGAATGCATTTAATAAAACTTACCTCTTTTAACATTTTTGATTATTTCCAGAAAATTTGATGCCAAAACAGAAGTAAAAGTGAGTCATGTCATACTGTCTGGTCACATTATAGAAATAACCCAAGAACCAATCCATAATCATTTAATGAACACATATTCAGATGATCTCCACCATTTTTTATGGGAAGAAGGAAGTTTGGCTCCACAACAGAAGCATTTCATTCACATGGTGTTTCATGTAATCATGCAAATTGTGAATGTTTATAATCAGTTAGCAATGAAAGTGTCCGTGGAAAAGGCCAAGCTGCAGAGCAGGAAATATTCTGAACTTAAATCATGACAATGCTTGTGATGTTGGAGTACATATTTGCCACCGTTGTCTGTTCTGTAATGGGAGAGATCAAGTGCCTCAGCCCCTTTGTTTCCTCTGTGACAGGAGATAAATGTCTGTATACTGATGTGGAATAATGACTGAAGGCACACACGCTCCTTAACATAATGTCTAGCTTTCAAAATGTTTTCTCATGTTGATTTTTCTCTTTAATGCAATGATGTGTAGCCACATCCTCTATTTTTTCCTTGCTCCACATTTCAAGTATCATTGATCCAAAATGCTTAGACCCACAAGTGTTTCAGATCTTATATGGTTTGGGATTTAAAAGGTTCATCCTAAACTTGGATTTTAAAAGCAATAGCTATTACACAAATTAAGAGTGGAAAGGATACCAGGAACCCAGGGCTTCCTGACTTTCTGGAAGCCACAGTCCAAGGCCTTGTGAGGCCTATCACAGTATCTATCCTTGAGGAGGGAAACTTTCAAAGCAGAGTTTATTTCATGGCTACCCTTTTTATCTCTAACAATTTGAGCAAAACTTGTTTAGGAGCTGAGAGAGAAGATGAACCAATGCAGATGCAGAGCCATGGAGACTCTTTGCATGGATCTGGGACTCAAATGCCCCTTGGAACATATACATTCCATTAATTGGGCCATCTTTAGGCAGCCTGCAAGTGTCTTGCTGCATTAGATTCTGTCTGTTCTCAAATTACCCTAAGGTTTCAGGCAAATGAGAGGGATGTGTTGACGTCCTTAGGATTTTCTGTGAGAATTAATGTTTTCAGGGTACTTAGGTATATAATCATAAGCAGAAATAAAGATCTTTTAGTTTTCTGAAGAAAGGAACATATTGTAATTTCCCAAATATGTAGAAGAGAAATTAGTAAAATCCCACTTTGAGGAGTCCTCCTTAAAAGGCCTTCTATAGAAAAGTAACTTGATGCAATATTGGTGATATTAGTAATATTGGTGAATAGCATAAGCACAGTCTTCATAGAATTCTAACTTCTACTCCTGCATGTGCATTTTAAATGCAGGATTTCAGTTTGCCGACTGACAAGAAAGGAAGAAATTGCTTACAAGTAGCTTTATTTCTATGTCCAATAACTGGTAACTGAAGTTGTTGATGACAATTTTTTTCAAAAAATAAGAAAAAAAAATCTCACTGGTTACCCACTACTAAGATAACAATGCAGCAACTTCCTTACCTGAGGGAATTACTGTGAGCTTTGTCCCTTTTGAAAATATCTTGGTCCATGAAGCTGTATGTCACACTGCTCAGATCTTCTACAAAAAGTGAACCTTTTCTTGGCCTTCAGTACGATGAGACATTTAGGAACCCTTAGAAAGTTGACCTGCATTCCTTCAGAAAGTTTTATGCTATCCAATAGTTTGTGAGTTTCCTTGTAAACTGACTTGACTAACAGTTCTCTTTTCTGAGGTAGCAGTTCTTGGAAAGTATCAACAGACAATGGGAAGGATAAAAGCAGAAAGAGGGCTGAGCCATGCCAGATGTTTAATCTTGTTGAAACTGCTAAGATAATTTATCAAATATGTCTCTACTCTCAGAATTACCAAGGCCACACCTTCAGTAATTTGGGGGTTTCTTAAGGGAGAAAGCTCTCTAGCAATGGCAACAGAAATGTAGGAACCAAGGAAAGCTTAAGGACGGTGAGCCAAGCCCTCATGTTCTAAGAAACCACATGACCTCTTGCCTACATGATTTATTATCGGGGTGATGGCAACTAGGAAATGGTCTTTTTATGACTTCCTATTCTCCCTCATAGAGTAAAATAAAATTATGCAAATCTATCTCCCATGGAACTATAAATCCCTTATTTATACTAAAAAGTGGAAACTAAAATTCAGTGCTCTGAAATTCTGAAAAAAAAATGGATCTGTGATCTCCCAACACTCACCTCAGGAGGAGAGGAATGGCTAGCAATGCCCTGGAGCACAAGTGGAGCCAGGGCTGGCTGGCCACCATGTCCTTCCCAGACCCAACAGTTCAGGCTTAAGTTACATAAACAGACATATACACTGACCCTGAAGATGAAGGACTGTAGGTGATCAGAACAATTGTCCATCAACAGCCCTCTCACAGCCACCAACCCAGACAAGAAGACAAGACTGTAGAAGAAAATTATGTCCTGAACATGGTTTTAAATGTAAATGTTTAAAAATTTAGTTTCACGTGTGCATTTTGCCTGCATATATGTTATGTATATCATGTGCATGCTCAGTGCCAGCAGAAGCCAGAACAGGGCACTGATCCTCTGGATCTGTAGTTACAGACAGTTATGAGCCCTGGTATGGGTGCTGGGAGCCAAACCAAGATCTCTGCTGGAACAGAAAGCACTCTTGCTGCTAAGCTGCCAGTCCAGCCCCCAACTGGCATTTCAACCCAAATAATAGTTTGTGCATTGAGTTCACATCAGTCCATCTTTCAGAAATATTGATGTCTTTTAATGACTTCTAGTCCCTAATTAATTGGAGACTTCTATGAGAAAAACTGTGTGTGTGTGTGTGTGTGTGTGTGTGTGTGTGTGTGTGTGTGTGTGTGTGTGTGAGAGAGAGAAAACCCATAAACTTTCACATATTTAGATTTTGTAGGTGGCATCACAAACCAATAGCAATTCTTCATTCAGACCTTCCGGGGGATTCTGAATTATGCCAAGTTGAATAGTAAAGCTAATCAAAGTAGTTTCAAAAAGAAACTTGGTTCAGCACTGATCATAAGAGAGGTAAGAGGAGGCACTGAGAATTAAATACAAGTGTAGCCACATTTGTAGGTCACTAGCTCTAGACCCTCTTTGGCTCCAGTGACAGCTTTGAGCTAAATGAGTCCCAAGGACCTACCCAATCCCAACACCTGAGAACCTATGAGTGTGAGCACTGGAGGTCCTCTGTGGTTGAGCGACTGAGTGCAGCTGAGAAGCAGGGATAGGAAGGTTTTCTTACAGGTTTCTTCAGATGATGAGACACCTTGAGATTCCAGCAGGCACAGTAGTATGTGACTTCATCTGCTGTGATAACATTGCTGATTATCAGGTAAAAGACACCATCATTCTTCTCAACTGTTTCCAAGAGAGAGTTGGGTTTGTCTGATTTATAAGTCCTGGCTGAGCCATAAAAGATCCATTTCAGGGGCTCTCCTTCTTTCAGTTGGTACCAGATCACAATGGTGTTCAGGATGTAGGACCCAGATAGCTTGTAACTTATGTGCGCCATCTTGTTTGGTCTTTAGGCAACAGACAGCTGATCCTCAGATATTCTCAGTTTGGAATCTCTAACTGAAAAGTGAGTTTTATTCCCAGTTGGCTCCAAATACAAAAATAATGAAAGGGAAGAAGGCAGCAAAATCAACTTACAAACTCAAGCAAAAGTCAGAAGGAAAAACTCAGGGGTTGGCATTTCCAATGATAGTTGCAATAGACACCAGAGACAGTGAATAGGGCCTTATCTATGGTGAATTAAGGTGGAACCCTAGTTCTGGAGAATGGGCAGGGTCATTTTATTATGCTCCTATTGCAAAGGAGCTATTAGATACCAGAAGACCTCATTGTTATACTTATGTTTTGATAACAGAGTCACTTTTCCCTTGTTAGTGGCAACTGCCCCTCACCTCTTGTCCATTGGATGTTTCAAAGACAACTCTCTTTGATATCATTTTAAGAAACTGATGTTTGTATTTTCCATTTTATTTTAAGAGGTTTTTAACAGTATATTATTATAATAATCATATAAGAAGATTTACATTATTATTCACAGTACAGAATGAAATGAGAAAATGAATTTCAGAGCCTTGTGAATAGTAAACACTCTTCATAGATCCAACATTTCCCAGAGTCTTAAGCTTGATTTCAGTTATTCCAGTAATCATATCACTATAGATTACATACACACTGCTTTGAATGAACACCTTCTGTTTTTATCCTGTTCATAATTATTCATTTTTTAGCTAAAACCTACACAGTAGCAGAAGGGAAATTTTCTATTCATCAAGGTGTGCTGAAGAATTGATACTAACTCAGTTTAAGAACTGATTTCTCTCATTTATAAAGATATTTTGTGCTTAAATTTGGAGAAGTGATAGAGCTAGAGAGGAGGAAAGGAATGAAGATAGAAGAGAGGTAGGGATGGAGAGAGAGGTAGAAGAGAGATGTTGGAGGCAATTGAGATAACACTGAAATAGATGTTATAGGTAAATGGTAGATGGTAGACAGACAACAGAAAGCAGACAGACAAATTATACATAATAGATAGATAGATTCTGGATAGTATATAGATGATTGACAGATAAAAGATTGATGATCGGTAGATAATAGATGACAGATAAATATGTAGATGACTAGGTAGATAGCTAAATGGTGATTAAGAGATAGATAGAAATTAGATAGTCCCTGAGGTCTACATTTGAAATTTCTCATGGGCAACAGTTTTCTACCAACACTGATGCTCACAGTACACTTCACCTGGAATATTTGTTGATAGGCTGCAGGGAGAATTTGCATCTATCTCAACTTTAGACTTCTGACCACCCAGACAAAGAAACTTGCTTCAGACTTTGTTTTGCTGTTAAGTGTTGCCATTAAATGGCCAAGTTAAAGATGACATAACATGTCCTTGTACTGTTTTAATGTGCATTAAAAATAAATCTGTATATTTTAGCAAGAGCCATATGAATTAGTTTTCTAAATACTTACATGCACTAATATGTGCTAATAATCTGGAACATCAGTTCAATGCTTCAATTATTGAATGATGTATTAGTATAGGCATTACAAAAACTTTATGTATATTATTTGAAGAAACCTTTTAATAGTTCATTAAATTTAACATTATGTTCTCAATTGCAAATTATGGAAATTAATCAAAGATATGTAATTTAACCAAAGCCATACAGACCACTTCAGGGAATATGTATGTAACACAGATTCATTTAGTAAGCATTGGGAAATAGGGAAAGATAAAAATGAATTGAACATACCTTAGCCAACTCTCGCTACATCATCATCATGTACAGAATCCTCCAGAATACCTGCCCAATTTTTAGGTAGGAGACCACACCACCCACCTCTGGTATCCTAAACCCCACCACCATAGGGCACTTCTTGCTCCCTAAGTCCTAAAGACAACACCCCTGACAACCATGGAACCCCATTACTTTCATGCCAACTCAAGAAGAACATCATCTGGTAAGGTCAGAGTTCGTATGCCTCCCAACTCTTCTGGGGTCAGTATAGCTTCCTCACTCATAAATCATAATGGAATACCTCCATTCCTGATCATCTGCATCATCTAGCTGATATAAAACCAACTAAGTCAAGGGACAGCAAGTATGGATACAAACACTCGGTGAAGATAGTCCAGAAAAGCACACCAAAAACTTAACCAGCAAATTATCTCCAGGTGTGCAAGTCCAGTCTTAAAACATAAACTACAAGAAATGGCAGGAATGCACCTCCTCCAAAATTACCAAACATGAAAAGCCAAGGCTGTGTCTCCTCAAAGTTCCAAACATGCAGTCCCTAGTGAGAGCAATTTAGGCAAAACTCCCGGAAAATGATTTTAAAATTATGTTCTGAGAATTCAAAAAGAACATGAATTAGCTCTCAAATAGACTCAAAGACTATAAGAGTAAACTCCTGAACTGGTCTTGGAGGTGAATGCCTTTAATCCCAGCACTCTGGAGGCAGAGGAAGGTGGATTTTTGTGAGTTCAAGGCCAGACTGGTCTACAAAGAAAGTTCCAGGACAGCCAGAGTTACATCGAGAATTTTTTTTTTTAAAAGAGTAAACTCCTGGATGAATTTTAAGAGAATACAAACAAATAACTGAATGAAATAATGAAGACAATTCTGAATCTGAAAATAAAATTGAACAAAGTGAGAGAGATAGGGAAGAAAATTCACGCAGAAATAATGCTGGAACTGGAAAATTCAGTAAGTCAAATAAAAAGCTAAATGGAAAGTCTCATCAATAGCATGATCTTGTAGAGAACAGAATATCAGGGCTTGAAGGCAAGCTAGAGAAACTGAATTATTAAGTCAAAGAAAATAATAAATCTTATGAATGCAACATGTAAGGCCTTTGGGACTTGGAGAAAAGAACAAGTCTAAACATAATATGTGTAGGAGATGGAGGAGAATTCCAGGCCAACAATGCAGAAATGTCTTAAAATCATAGAAGAAAATTTACCATAATTATGGAAAGTCCCACATTATAAGTACATCTATTATTAACACTAATTACAGCAGTAGCATCAAAACTCTTCTGCTTTGCACTCTCCTGCCCTGCCCATCCTGCTCTCAACTAGTGCCTCACTATGTTGCTTCCCTCAATGCCAGGCTTTTCTTGCCTTGGCCTCCCAAATGCTGTGTTTAGAACAGCACCTACCAACTATACTTTCCAAAATCCGATTTTTCCCCAATAATTCTTGGAATTATCTTTGCAAAACATAGATCTCACTTCAGTGGGAACAAGAGACAAATGATTTCAGAAAGAGATATAAATGACCATTACCCAGGAACATGGATTGAGATGATCATAAATGCTATGTTCCAACATGTAACAGTTTAATGAAGTTTTGTGGTAATAGAGCAAAAGAAGGTCATAAACCAAGGCACTTTTCAAGTACTTTGGTGAAAATATTAAGTAGGTCGGTTATAGCAAAGTGGGAACATCTCTACCATAGGCAGCAGATAATATCTCAACATGCCAATTCTTCACCACCATGGAGGTTCTAGGCAGATGGTTTTCCTCTTAGAACTTTAGTCCTTGGAACTTTAGTCGAGATAAAGTAGATTTTAAGGACATGGGAGAGGAATTTTTTATTTTTATACTTTTAGCATTTGTCATACTGTTCCTTGGATATACTCAATCATCCCACCACTAAACTCAGAATAAACATTAATTTCAACCATTGTTTCTTATATTGTTGCTTTCTGAGTTGCAGGGAGATTTCTTACTTTTTGTTAATTTATTGTCTGAGAAATTCATACATATATCTAACACATTGTGTTCACACTAACCACCCCATTCTCTTATCCAGATTATCCAAAATCCCCCTTTTCTAACCAGCCCACTGACTATAGCATTCCATTTGTTTCTTTTTTTTATTTTGCTCTGTGACCTACTGTATTTCTTGATGTTCTTGCTCTTTCTTTTCATTATTTTCTTAGCAGATCACTGAAGTACAGGATCAGAGCTTGCTTTGACCAAGCTATGAGTCCAAAGGTGTAGACCAAGCTTTGTCACACACATTGAACCACTTCCCAAGAATCGTACTTTGGTCTCTAATATCTCTCAATGAGCTGATTATGTACTTACAGGTGTAGTGGCCACTAGTTTTCTTCACTCTGAACTATAGATTGTAGCTAAGGATAGATCTCTCTATCTCTGAACATCTCCAGTGCTTGTGAAGGAACTAGGATCTGCAGCAGGAAATATCCCTGTGGGATGAATGTCTCTGCTTATATTTAGCACTCTCCTGACTTAATTCTAAGCCATTTATTTCCTGCAAACCTTTGTGCAATGAATTAACAAAAGACCAGATCATGCTGCAAGCTCTCCATCCTGTATTTGAATAGCTTTCAGATACCCTGAGTAGGAAATAGTGTGGGGCCATCCTGCCTTCAGACTATAGTCCATAGGACCTCACTGATGAAATAGAACCCAAGATGTTGCCTGGCAGCACAAAAGCACTGTGAGGAAAAGCTCGGGTGGCCCCTCAGCTAAACAGCTGTGCTGGCTGGGAAGGATGTGGTTTGGCACAGATGGGAGATGATTCTTATGCAGGCTGTTGTAGAGGCTCTAACGTTGTGCTAACTCCAGACAGCACAGTAGTAGATGGCTTCATCTCCTTTCTTCAAGAAATTTACTTTCAAAGTTGAAGTAGAAGTTTGAACATCTTTAGTTGCTTCAATTTTCTTAATTTTTCCTTCTAAGGTGCGTTCATTATAGTTCGTCCTGACAAACATTAGATACTCAAACTGTTGATTTCTTTTATGCCGGTACCAATGTATATCTACTTTTCCAAAGTCTTGAAGAGAAACTTTACAGGATATTTGGGCACTCTCATCCATTGCTCTGGTGACTGATAATTCAGTTTGCTCCAACTGCCCAAGCCCAACTGCAAGCAAACAGAAAATCTTATTAGCAAACAAAACAGCATTTGAAGAATTGGACATGAGGATGAGTTCATTGCCTCTTACACATGGAGATGTCTACTTACAAACCCAGAGGCAGGAGAAGGTGAATCCACTCAGGAGCAACATCCCAACTGTCAGGCTGCTTCACAAGGAGGCAGGAAGTAGTCTGTGAGCTAGAGTCTCAGGTCACAAGCAGGAGGGTGGGGCTGTCCTAGTGTCTCAGAGAACTGTAGGGCCAGTGGATCTCCCCTGGGTGGGTCATGATCTGCTCCATTTCTGAGCAGTTGCAGGGTTTCCTGTCCCACGGCAGCAGGTCAGATGTATCCGTGGGTAAAAGGTCTAAGATACATCCTTTGTCTTCATCTGGTACAGTGTAGGAAGAGTCACCAGTCAGTCCTTCACTCTACTGTAGTTGCGTTGACTGGAGACCAGAAAGAGACATTTTCTATATTCTGCATATGTATTTGTGATTTGCTATTGATTAAAGACCCAGATACAAAGGCTGACCATGATGTTCTGAACAGGGGGAAAACAAAACAAAACAAGAACACTTCAAATTCTATATTTGGCAGATACTCTGTGCACAAGCATATAGATATTTTGTGGTTTTTCTATCAACTCCAAAGTCACACAGTAGATTGTGACTTGGGTGATTAAATTTCATTTCTTTTTTAAAATTTTATTAAAAATATTTTTCATTTTACATTTCCTCCTCCCTCCCCTTCTCTCACTCCCTATCACCCCCCATCCCATCTACCCATCCACTCCTAATAGGGGATAAGGCCTTCCTTGGGGAGTCAACAAAGTCTGGCACTTCATTTCTAATATAGGAACTTTGAAGAAAAAAAACTGGATTAAAATTGTCAACAGGTATCAAGCAAGTCAATCTATGCTGCTCCTCTTAGTGGAGCATGGAGTCAAATATATTAAGCAGACAGAGCCATGATTAACATTCAGTGATAGCTTTAAGGTTAACATTAGTGTTTCATAGCCATTGGAGATTTCTCAGGCATTTGACAAGCTTTATTATATGACTCCATTTAACCCTATCCAAAGCCCTATGAAGTGGGTGTCATGTGCTTTTCTCCATTTGACAAATGGAGATGGTGGCAAAGAGAAGTCAAATCACACATTCAATAATACAGAACTCTTAAGTATGATGGTTCAGATAAGCAAAAATATGTTAATGAATATCTGAGTAAACTAAAAATAAAATATTTCACAAAGCACTTTCCATTTACATTTTCTTCAAATTTCCTCTACATATACATATCTATGTATAGAAATAGGATTGCTCCCTGCCCCCTGCCACACACACACACACACACACACACACAGACACAGACACACACACACACACACACACACAGAGAGAGAGAGAGAGAGAGAGAGAGAGAGAGAGAATGTGTGTGCATGTGCCCTCAAGGAATAGAAATCTGCTTGTTAAAGAGATTTATGATTCTGTATATTTTGTAGCACTGTTCACATGAGACAAAATATAAGTTAACATATAAGTTAACCTTGTTTTCTAACCATGGATGAATGGATAAAGAAAGTGTGTGTGTGTGTGTGTGTGTGTGTGTGTGTGTGTGTGGTGTTTCATTCTCTCAATTGCTTACTACTTACTACATGGACAGACCCTGATTAAAACTTTGCATATTCATTAAGAGGATTCTGTCCCAGACCTCATCAGTCGTAGTCCTGTTTCTCTTTCACTTATCTGTGTTTTGAGACAGAGTCTCACTCTGATGCCTGGGCTGGTCTTGTAATCTATGCTGAAGATATCCTTCCCTTTCAGTCCTCTAAGAAGTACAGGCTTCCACAGCCATACCCAAGCCTCCAAATGCTGGAAAGTGGTGCCCCCTTGTGTCCTCTTCAGTCACAACCTTTCCTGACTATTGTTTTCTATTATGAACTGTTCAGATGGAGATGGAGACCATGGCTAGTTAGTTTTTCTTTTGTTTGTGGTGTAGATGAAAAAGAGAAGGAATTACTGAATTAGTAAACGTGGAAGTATTTATATTTATTATGATGCCTGTGAAAGATAACCACTTAAGGAGTAAATTTTGAAAAAAAATTTAACTTAGTAAAGAACAAAGTACTTCACCCATTAGATTATGGGACTCCATAAATGTAAATCCCATGGAAGAGGCTAAGAGCTTAAAAGTGTTTAGCAGCTCTTTAAGGGCATCTGGATCTGATTCTTCCTGTCTGCAAAGTCTGTGTCCTTTGAACTTTGAACCCTTCCTGGCTTCTGTTTCTTCATCTATCTGATGATACTAAAACAAGGAACACCCTGTCCACCAACACACACACACAGACACACGTACATACACACCACTCACTAGGTGTCTGTGACAGTCAATAATCAAGCCCAAGAGAATTGTTAAGTACAATGGCTGACACACAATGAGCCTCTAGAAACCAATGGGGACTTCTGACAAATTGTGCCATATTGACTCCAATGAACTGTGCAGGTCAGCTACCACAGCCACCAGCCAAGTTCTTCATAGGACTTCCCTAAGAGATAGGCAGCAGGAGGCTCCAAGTAAGTGGCAAAGAGAGTGAAATACTGTGGGACCATCCTTATGTGCACATGTTTTTGAGTTGAGAAATGTTACCATGAAAACACAGTCTGGAACATGTTTTCTGTATAAATTTCAACTGAGGAAAGTCACCCAGAGGCCAGATGAAAATCCTGCTGAGTTCCTGGTCTGACTTACAGAGGCCCTCCTTCAATAAACAATGCTAGAAACTAGTTCTCAAGAGGGAGCACTTGTGTTCAACTTTCACTTACTCTCCCAATCAGCTCCTGACATTAGAAAAAAATTTAAAGGCCGGATAATGGCCCTAAAATTCCCCCAGACAGATCTATTCAAGATGCTATTTAAGGTATTTAAGGGAGGGGAGGAGGGGGGGAGTTTGAGAAGCTTCTTGTGATAGTAGCGCCAGCTATGGAGATAGCCCTAAGGTCTGCTCCAAAGAAGATGATGGGACACAGAAGAACTCCACCTGGAACTTGCTTTAAATGTGACAAAGCTGGCAGTGGGTGCAAAACCGCCCTTCACCCCACCTCTACCAGGACCCTGCCCAAACTGTGGGCAAGCAGGACATTGGAGAGTTGATTGCCCTACTTCACCTAGGCAAGATAGACCACTCCCCCAAGTTCCTTCTCCATAGTAAAGTCTCTCAGATCTTCTGGGCCTGGTACTTGATGACTGAAATTGTCCTGAGACCTCTGTCCCTAATGAAATAAAAATTGTAATTGTCCAGGCAGCCTGTAAGTCTCTGTCATTTTTAATCGATTTGGCAACTATTTGTTCTGTATTTCCAGCTTATTCTGGTAAAACATATCCTTCTCAGATCTTTGTAGTGGGTGTTGATGATCACTCCCACTGGCCAAGAGCTACAGACCTCTTCCCTGCACTCTCTGGGGCACCTAACAACTCATTCCTCCTTTTACCTAGTTTCTTGACCCCATTATTGTACAGAGATATCACAGCGAAGTTCCAATTTTCCTGTTCTTTTCAACCAGCTCCATCTGGAATTTTCCTCTTCTCCTAGCCTCTGAAGAACTCCCTTCTAACATTAATACTTCACTCTGTCCCCTATCAGACTTCAGTGTTGACCACTCCTATTAAGATCCTATACCTCCTATCCCCTCTCTCAGTACCACATTCCTCTAAAACATAAACAGAGCCTAACATCTACCTTACAGTGCTTTCTTGATAAAGGTATTCTCAAGCACACATATTCGTTCTATAACACCCCTGTCTTGCCTACACTAAACCTGATGTTTCTTACCACCTAATCTATGACCTCAGAATTATTAATGCAACTGCTACTCTTATACAACCGTAGTCCCTAGATCCTATACTCTATTCTACCAGATTCCCTCCTCTCATTTTACTGTCTTAGATCTTAAGAATGTTTTCTTCACCATTCCCTTACACTTAGAGTCACACAATATCTTTGCTTTTACCTGGGAGGATCCTTACATTGGTAGAACATCCCAGCTTACTTGAATTATCCTTCTCTGGGGGTTTCAACACAGCCACCACTTTTTTGGGCGGCTGGGCTCTGGACACTGATCTCCCCTCCTTAGACCTGTCACCAAGACACTTTATCCAATATATAGACAATCTTCTATTCTTCAGCCCTTAACTCTCTCTATCACAGCAGCATAATACTCAGCTTCTTAATTTTCTAGGAAACAAAGGACAGAGTCTCCCCTCCAAAGATCAACTTTCTGTCTCTCAGGTCAAGTACCTTGGCTTTCTGCTATCCCCTAACAGTTAAGAGCTCACTCTCAACTGTAGACAGCATCTGTGGTCCCTTTCACCACCTTCCATGGTGGTGAAGAGATTCTTCCCTGCCTTGGCCTAGCAGGGTACCTTAGAACCTGGATTTCTGACTTTGCTCCTCTTGCTCATCCCCTGTATGAAGCAGCTGAGGGACTCCCAGCTGAGCCTCTAGATCCCACTAAGCCTATCACACCTGCTTTCTCTTGCCTCTGAAAAATGCTCCTACAGGTCCCAGCTCTGGCTCTCCCTGATCTTGATCAAGCCTTTATTCTGTATGCTACTGGAAAAATGAGGAATGGCTCTAGGAGTTTTGGGACAAGTGAGAGGACCTATATTTTTGCCCCTGTTGCCTACCTTTCTAAATATTTAGGGGTGGCAACCTTGCTTATGGGAACTAGCGATAGCCCCTTACTGTCCTGGGAGGCTTTTAAGGTCACTTTTGGTGTCTTCTCTCTGTCTTCTGAACACACTGGCTCACACAACAGTCTCTCCACTCTGTCCTCTTCCATGCTTTAGCCTTTTCACATTACATCTTGTTTGGCTCCTGCGACTCTCCTTCCCAGGACTACTACCATCATGTATTCTTGCCTAGAATCACTTGAAACCCTTACCTACCGAAATCTACAACTTTTATCTGCCCCCATCACATCCTGTCTATACTCAGTTTATAGATGGAAGTTCATCTCTCAGCTACACTGGCTCTCACGAATCAAGCTATGACATAGTCCTCTCTGACCTCTAACACCAGGCACTACTTCTCAGAAGACAGATCTCAGAGCCTTCACTAGAGACCTTAGCTTAGCATGAGACAACATATATAGT